TAAACATGTCAAATAATAATGGAACATATGTCAAAGAGTAAATTTAATCTTTTATACCAAAAGCTAGTATAATTAGATTGATTTGTGTTTTATTTATAGGTCGGATTTTCCAACAAATACCGATTATTCTCATGTCCATGAAAAAATTGTTGATGGAACTAATAATACTGTCAACAAACAACAAATATTGACAAATTATGGTGATACACTTCCAGCAATTTCAAATCAAAGTAGGCGTGATATTATTGTAAACATTTTATAAAATCTCTTGCATATAACAGACTCATCGAGTAATTTGGTGGTTGCTTGTAATACATATGATGAAAGTATATTTATTTACTTATTTTACGATTTTTTCTGTATTTGTTTATTTTTATTTTTAGATCAATATTATGATGAAGGTGAAAGTTTGTTTAATAAACAACTCATTCTATTGAAAAATCTAAAATCACCATTCGATATTCAATATAAAACTGATTATTTTCCTTGTGGAGGTAAGAATGCGAATAAACCACAACCACCTCATTATCTTCATTCTGTTGACGATGACAAAAATATTATTATCAAAGTATATATATATATATATATGTACGTGAAAAACGTTAAAGTTTTTGTCTTGATATAATTTTAGTTTCCACATGATTTTAAACCTCCTAAAAAATGTGATAATTATTACCTTGAAGTAGCTCTTTTAACGGTGCCTCGAATTGGACAACATTATATACATGTCAATAAATTTCAACTAGATAATACAGATAATACAGTTATGGATCAAAATCCGTTCTGCATTCGTTTAACCGAAGAACATTTTAAAAAAGGAGAAATTTCGTAAGTTATTTTTTGTATTAAAATGAAAATAAAAGTTCAAATTTTAGAGTTAAATTAGTGTTAGTTAAAACACGTCGTAATGATTTACGTAATATATCATCATTACAATTATTTAACGAACAGGATTCTTTAAGTAAATATTTTTAATACAATAGATTAATATATATATATATATATAGAATAAAATATTTAGATTGGACAGCAGATTGTAAAACTATTTCAGATTTAGAACATGATTATGAACTTTCTCATGCAATGGTGGCATTCTCTCTTGGATTTATTAATAAAAATAATAAATTTATTCGATTTACGAAAACAACAATTATATCAAATGAAATTGTTGAAAGTAAGATAGAAAAGTTTATACTTTTTGTTTGTTTTATACATATTTGTATCATTTGCGATTTAGAAGAAAAATCAAAATCATCAGGTATGGATTCTACTATTTTCTACAAATCTCAATTTATAAACCTTATCTTTAGATAGTATAACATGTCCTCATTGTTCACTTAGCTTTAATATTAAAGAACAAAAATCAAAAAATCAAAAACGATCTATTTCTTCATCGAATTCAATTGATAAGGTATATTATTGCAAATAGTATAGAAATTTCATTTTATTTATTTTGTTTATTCATTAGAAGTGTCCATCAAAGCGTCAAAAAAAAAACTCAAATTAATTCAAACTGAAAGGCCTCATCAGCATTAGAACTATAGTATCTAATACTAAATTATTGTCCATATTCACTTTTTATACAGAATTGACTATAAATAGCATTATAATAAAGAAATGAAATATCTTCGACGTAGGTTCAATCATTCGTTAGTAGTTGAAGTTATTTGACCTGTTATCAACTACGAAAAATATATGTGTAGCATTTGATAGATAGTTTTGAGTTGTCATCTAAGAGAATAATAATAAGAAATCAAAACTATAATTTCGTCTTTTAGTGTATACCCGCAAATTTCACAATTTGAACTAACTAATTTTAAAAACTTATTCTATATGCATTAATATAATATCATTTATTATTAATCTCTTAGATGATAATTGAAAATTATCTATGAAACACTATACATGTATTGAGTGTACTTGATAATAGGTGAAATTCGTTTACTGAGGTCAAAAATATAACTTGACAATAGTGTTTATTTACGTTACCTGTATGAAAAAAAAACTTTCAGTAAACATCTATCACTAACCGAAAAGTCAGTCTATTCGAGCGAAACGAACCAGAAATATTTCAATTTTTTATTGTATTGCTTTATTTATGGCCTATTCAGTATTATTTTAAATTTACTAATTCTGCTGGATTTTATTTTTGTTTTCTTGCAATTATTTTAACAATAATTTATAATTATACTCAAGATTTCTTTTTTATTTTGTATGCGATATCATATCGTATATATCAATAAAAACTAGAGAACAATGTGTTTTTTTTATAAATAAAAACTGCATACTACCATCGACCTTCAATCTATATGTTGTATCAATTGATGAATACTTATATTAATTATTTGAATCATATGCATATATATATATATGTGTTTATGAGGTAAGTATTAATAAGTCAATGAACAACAAATGAAATGAATTCATTCAGTGATTATTCATATGATTGAATTTAGAACTGTTGGTTTAACATGATAAAAATCATAAGATGTCCACGAAAAAAATAATCATAATGGAAAATATTTGTTCTCTATGTAAAAAGAAGAACTCTTGATTTCGTGAGTGAGTCATCTATTGGATGCTAGTTTTTTTTCATAGTTTGATTTTAAAATAATCACAATAACTTTAAAGACATGATTTTTGCTTTTGTCACTTAAGAAGAAGATACCCAAGTCAAGAAATACATACCATTTTCAGCTGTAAAATTCCGGAAAACTGTAGAGACTTGACATCGGGAATTTGTTGATCGAATTCGGTGACTGGCTCTGCTCGACTACGATGGGCTACAACTGGAGCCAGAAAAATTCGGGCACGGAAGTCCGATCATCGGATTTCTACTTTCAGCATCGAAATCATTGATATGGATATAAAAGTAAATCATCTTAAATTTTATAGAAATTCTATTTCAATAATAAAATGTCTTAAAAAAGCAATGTTCATTTGAAATATGTATGAAGACAATTTCATTGTAACTCATAATGTAAATAATCATTGATTACTTCGGAGATTCAAAGTCTTAAAAAAGTAAGAGAAATTTCAATAATGATGATGATGAATTCGATACGATTAAAAGAAAAAAAATGCTTCTTAGTTTCATCTACAACTAGAATATATGAATAAGAAGAAGACGAGAAACTTTCAAATAATGACATTACATAATAAGCAAAGTACTTTCTAACTACTCTAAATATTGTAGATTTTAGTTTTGAATGCAGGGAAAAGATTTTATTGTAAGTGTTAATCAGTAGAGCGGTGGTATTATTGATTTATCAGAATCACAATATCACTGAGGTAGAAAAATATGAACTCATTGAATTCTAAGTTTAGACGAAACTCAACAATAAATGTCAAAGTTCTTTGAACGAAAGAATGATGTACTTGAAAGCCTAATGAACGATTAAATTAATGTGTATAGAAGGCTAATATGGCGCTTGAATTGGCGAAACGAAGAATAAAATGATATTTGCCGCTTTTTATGGCATGTATCGTGTATATTATTATTAAGAGAAAAGAAGTTATGTATTGAAGATTTATCAGAGAGTACAAATAAATTTTTTCAGTATAACAATGTTAAATCAATGTAATAAGTTAGTAGAATAATAATTCGAAATGATAAAATTTCAGAGCGCGCGTATCAACTATAAAAATTATTATCATCTTGATTTATTCATTCATTTGACATCTTTTTTATAAATTATATTAATCCTCTGACAATATACCATAAATTTATAATAGTCCAAGTCTGTAAGTTCCGCATTTTAGCCCCTCATGGAACCGCATTGACAAGTTTTTTCACAACCGTCAGTATACCGGGTACTTTGCTTTTGGTTGGAGTGCTTAATATTAAAATCATTAGCAGAAATGCCAATCAACATTGAACATAGGATCCACTAATGTACTTGAAATGGAACTCATCTTTGCAACCTGAAATTTCCAGTATATCATTGATAGAGATCATTTACCATGTTAAATTCTTCTGATGAACTAAAATCACGAAGTTACATTAAAGCAAGAAAATTGATTTCACGATATCTTCTCATTTGTATTTATTTTCAAGCAAAATTGGTACGACTATCGTGTCATACTATGCCTATAGTGTAGCGCTGTTATCTCCATGAAACTGAGTTTTCATGAAAATAAAATATATTGTTTTTTGATTTCACACATTTTAAAAACAATTTTTTCTGATGCTTCCACTCAAACTCGATCTCGCCGCATTGAAATGCATTCACTATTGATTTCATGGTTTATATACATGTGATCATAGACTGCAACGAAGAGAGGAGAAATGAAATGTAACGTTTAATAACTGTTAGCACAGAGCATGACACTCGTTATGATAATGTTTGTTTTTTTTTTCGTTTTCTGTTACATTCAATAAAATATTATTTATCACAACTTCATTACGTGTATCATTTCACGAAAAAAAAAATGTCGGAAACTGAACCAATTAAAAACAATACTGATATTGCTCATAACTTTCCATCCCATGACATATTTCATCATCATGCATGTCTCACACTTAATCGAACTGATCGTCTACGACTTATTCGATTTCCAACAACGATTATCAGTGTTGTTCGACACGCTATTCTTTCTAGTTGGCATCGTGGTTTACAAAATGAGAAACACTATGCAGGTGCCTATCAATTCAAATTATATGGAAATCCTTGGCTTGGTCAAGGAAGGGAAGCAGTAGAGTCTCGGGTTATGATGCATGTTTTTCTTTATCGAATGAATTTCATCTTCATCTTGTATATCTATGTTTAGTATGTCGGTTCTTTCAGCTTTACATCATCATGGTTGGTATCTTGTGATGGCAACTGATGTTTCCAAGAAACAAGAAGATAAAGATTTATTGATTTTCAGAGCCAGTATACCTCCACAATCAACATCATTTTTTGCTGTTTCATTCAATGAACGGAACAAGTTACGTTTGATTGGTGCTCCATATGAAGTAATATCTGCAGTTCAGGAAACTATTGGCACAAGTAGAATTCAATACGAAGACTGGATTTATTCAGAAACAGCTTATCAATTTAAATTGTATATAACATTACTTTTTTTATTTTCTGATCCGCATAAATTTTTACTTGTAGATGTGCTTATCCGTGGACAGCTGATGGTTACGAAACAGTCACTAGTCGAATGATAATTCTTGATTTACTCGATTGTTTTACATCGCTCGGTTGGCAATTACATGCAAGTATTAATATGAGTACAAGCTATGACGGTTATCATACTGATACTTGGTTTTTTCGTCGAGGTAATCAATGATTAATTATATTACGTGTGAGAATACAAACATTCATACACACATACATTCTAAATGAACGTTCTTTTTTTAATGCTTTTTTAATTATTAGAATAAATTTCTTTCTAATGGACGATTTACTTTTATATCTTCTCGTTATATGACAAAGGCAAAAATCATGTTTTCAAAGTAAACTATATGATTCTTTTGAAATTAAAACTAGCATGTAATAGAAGGCTCTAGAATCTATCAATACAAAGAAGATTTGAAAGGGATTGTTGAGCTCTATATAGAATCCATCAAGTATAAACTATTCTCAACGTTTTTAAAACAGTTTTATAAGCGATGGTTGACTATTTTGTTTCACATAATCCATTGAAAAAGAATCGAGTAGATTATCAAATTGATCGAACTATTGATTCAAAATGAACTTCTATATTGAACAAAACTATATTCGGATAGATTGATGAAAGCATCTTTAAATGGAAATCATCTCTATAAAGACTCAGAAAATCAAAACTTCTTCTTTTTATGTTCAGAAAAAAAATATTTTCTATTTTTGTTTATTTTTCTGTTGACATATCATCATTTTTATGATGTTAAATCAACAATTCTATATCCAATCATTTGAATAATGATTGAATGAATTTATTTCATTTGTTGTTCATTGACTTATTAATACTTAACGCATAATCACATATGTATGGTTCAATTAATTAATATAACTATTTCATCAATTGATATCATACATAAATTAAATGTGGTTAGTAGTATACAGTTTTTATGGAGATAAGCGATATAAAATATCATTCAAAATAAAAAGCCTTGTTTATGACAATAGATTATTTTTAAAATAATTTCAAGAGGAAAAAAAATCAGGACTAGTGAATATTTAACATAATAAGGGGCAATGTTCGATATGGATCGAATTTTTGTGACACGATTCGATTTGACCATGTCGGACTCTAGTATTGACTACATTTCGTTTTCTCTTGAGAAATTATTCAGACTGCAGATCTATGCAAAAATCGAAAAAATTTTTTGTAACCCATCCGACCCGAGTCGGACACTGAAAAGAGAGGTGGACTAGAAATAAAGCTCTATGATAAGAAATTGAAATATCTTCGCTTCGGTTCACTTCAATGGACTGATTTTTTGGTTTGTGGAAGAAGTTTATTCAAAATTTTTCTTCATACGAATAACCTCAACAAATACCACTGTCAAATTATAGTTTTAACCTCACTAAAGAAATT